TAGTAAACTACCCCAAAATACCAGCTATTGAAATGGAAAAGAAATTACGCCAAAATGACCATGTAAAAGCAGACATTATACTCGCCCAAGATGCATCACAGCAATACCATAAGAGAAGCTTGACTTAACAGCTTACCTTTGCAGCACAATAACCAGCATTAGCTGAACCCTCTGCAAGTAAGCGCCGATGAGCAGGTGTTTCCGGAATAGTATGAGAAGATCCATTCCTCTCGTTCGATGAGCATGGCAGGAGGTGCAGCGTTACAGATTCTTTCACACATAATTTGACTATGCTTCCTTGAAACACAGTCAACAGCAGTGATATAAAACCCAACAGCATCAATTCTGCACCAAGACATAAATCAATCGATTCAAAATGCACTAAAATTTCGTATCAATCTAGAAACCACTACATAAACGAAAAATACAAGCAATTTCCTCTTTTCCACAGAACTATAAAATGCAAAAGAGGATTAAAAACATTGGAGAAAAAGAGTGGTAGGTGATGACCTTCTTTAACCTTCTGCAAAGCTTCATACAAAGGCTTCTGATTCTTGTGCTTCAGATACTGCAGTATTTCCAGTAAATAAAACAACTTTTAAAACCTAGTAAGAAAATAAAAGGAAAAAAAACACTTATAAACCGACAATTGACAGATACTACAACAACTGAAACACAAAAATAGAACCTTTACATACCCCAAGAAGTTGAATTACAGTATTATATCCTGTATCTTAAAAAAAATATTTTTTGAACCGCATAATAGATACAAACTTTATATTCTCCAAGCCATCTACTAACTTACACCATCCACCTCGTTCTCTCTATTTTTGGCCACTGAGATGCAAAATAAAAATGCAGGTAGAGATAAAAACGGAAAAAGGGAAATGTTAGGGGGTAGGGAGAGGACCTTTCCGGTGTAGTGAAGGATGCGTTCGGCAGCGAGTGAGAGGGAGACGATGACGGTGCAGACGGCAGCGACCACCCACGTCGGAGTGAACTCCAGCGTCGTCCCTTCTGCTTCCCCACCTCCACTCATTCTCTTCTCTCAAATTCTTCTCCGCAATGCAGAGACCCACAACTTTCAAACTAATACAAATTACCCAAATAGACAAAAGAAAGACAAAAGAAACAAAAATTTCTCCCACTAAGTGAAACTCCTAAGTTGTGGAAGACAATAAAAAGCCGGAAAAAAAAAAAGAAAAAGGAAAAGGACCCAGGAAGAAATGTCAATCAATCAACCAAACCAGTAGCAGTAACGCTACTAGTAGTGGGACAGACAGAGGAAATGAAAACGAAAACTCATATTAGAATTAGGAACCAAGAAAGCAGATTTAGCTGCTTTATTTTTATTCTTTGGAACGTGAGAAATGGAGGGTAGAGATGGGGTGAGGTGAATCTATTCGGCTATTCCATCGGAAGGTGGAGATAGATGCTGGTGAGATTTCAATGAGACACGACAGCCGTTTTCAGACGGCGACACTTTGAATACTGGGGCGGTTCTTTTTTTTTTTCGCCGCTAAGACGACATACATCGTAACCTTATTTAATGCAAAGAATTTATTAATGAAATTAATACACGCTTTTTGCTACTATATTAAACACGATTTAGACGCGATTAGTCGTAATTGGGATAGGATAGGGCGGGCTGTTTAAACGAGAGAGAACACATTTCTTAATCAATTTTTTACCTTTAGAACATTGCAATTCAGAGACAACTTTTAATTTATAGGATGGGGTATGATATCTATGAATCTGTTGGATTTATGGATACCCCAAATTAAGCTCCTGCCTTATAGGATTTCTTCTTCTTCTTCATTTCCTCAAAAACATCAATAGATGTCTGTAATTCTATGAGAAATCCGTTCATTATGGGAAAACTAGATAAATGAATTTAATTTTGTACCGTGTGATTTACGTGTTCAACAGTAAGTTTAGCTAAAAAAAACCTGCATATTTTGTAGTTTTGATACATTGTCATGAGTAGTTAGATTATGGAAGGGATCTAGACTTCAAACTCTCTATAAATGTGTACGAAAGCTTACAATGTGCGATCCAAATTTGTTCAAGTTTTGACCAAGCGTTTAGATGAACAATGCTTTAGGGTCGTCCTAAATGAATATGACAGTCTCGAAGGATATTCAAGGGATATTAGAGCTAAAAGCAAATGGTTAATGTAGCGGAGCCAATCTACAGATGCCACGTGTCAGCTCGAGATGCGGTGATATAGCAGCTCGGACCATATTCAAGGGATATTAGAGCTAAAAGCAAATGGTAAATGTAGTGGAGTCAATCTACAGATGCCACGTGTCAGCTCGGACATAAGGGGGCATCAATTCGATTGTTTCCACCGCCGTTCAAGCCGTGTGAGTTTAGTGGGCTGCGCCTCCCAAACCTTTCGAAATCAGCAAGCGAAACCCTATAAAAACTCCCCCTTGACTAGGGCTCGTGGTCCCATAAGGAAACTCTCACCCTCAAACCTATAAATACAACACCACAAGACAATACAAGGTGCGTCATCTACAGTACTCTATACTATTGCTTACTCTCAAGCTCTCACTAACTTAATCATCGGAGCTATTTCGGGGAACTAGTCCCCCTATTAGCTTCTTCCTGCAGGACAGCTCGTTTGATCTCCTCCCATCAGCTCGGCCTTCCTCCGTTCGCCCAGTTCATTGCAGCTCGGATCGGATCACATTTTTGGCAGTCGCATCAGTAAACATGGTTACTAGATTATTCAAATCTTTTTTATTTTAATCACTAAACTTTTTATCTAGTCAAAACAGTAATCCAACTATTTAAAAGTGCAATTTGGGTCCAATAAGTATTCATTTTCATTAAATAAGTGATGGAAAATATACGTTTTCATTAGTTGAATAATGAAAAATGGACGTATTCATTAGTTAAACAACCATTTTGGTAACATAAAGTGCGAGGCAAGTTGAATTGCTATTTTTTGGAATTTATATAGAAAAATATGCTGTGATGATTTGATCTATGTAAGATAGATATGCAACCATGAAGTGTGTTCATAAAAAAAGTAAAAATTTTCCTTAAAAAATCGCAATCCAAACAAGAAGTTACCAAAATGTAGAGTTTGAAATAGTTTGGTGACTATTTTATGTTACCTGCTCTAAAGTTAATGAAATTTGAACTAGTTGTTTGACAAGTTAATGTGAAAATTACATAATAAAATGTAAAAGTGTTATACTTTACCTCACGGAGTATCACTTTCCGCCTTTGACTTTTCTTGCAAATCAAATAACTGGTTAGTAAAACGTTTCCCGTTATAGTTCCAAACCAAACAGGCGAAGAGGACTAGCAAAAATTTATGCCATAACGAGAGGTTTATGAGATTTTTTTATTTTTATTTTTAAACGCATTTGTTACAAGCTACCGCAAGAGTCCATTCAAGCTACCGACCGCAAGAACGGAGCTGGGGGAGTTCGAGCAAGACAAAGGTTCTTTATTTGGCTTGTTATTTTATTATTTTAAAAAAAAAATCCAATAGAACGTGCATCACGCATGATGAATGGTTGCCACACGGCCCTCCAGATTGACGTGAAATAAGCCGCCCAATTTCTCGTCTCCTGGTAAAGAATTCAAATTCTTTAGAACTCAAAACGACTAATTTAATCCCAAAATGAACAATTAATTTGCTCAAAGTAGTAGTGTGCCAATTGCTACTGTTCAAACTGATTAGCCATGATTGATTAGGTGATGTCTCATCTGCATTTTCCCGCAATCAGTCCGGATTACCGCCATGAGTCAATCTTCTTCCACCTATTTTCCACCGCCCATTTGTTGCGCCGTTAAAGTAGAAATGATTTTCTAATTCGATCATCATCAATAGTTATTTTGTATGTCAATTCGATCATCAATAATTGATTTGTACGGGGAGACAGCAAAAATCTTGTCACGTCAAAAAAAAAAAAAGGAAAAAGAAACAAATGATAATGACACTCCGTCATCAAAGAAGGCTGTGCGCTGAAACCGAAAGCTAATTTAAGATTCGGATAAAACCCAAAAAAAGAAGAAGATGCTTGACACAACCAATTGAGTGTTGTTTGGAGTTATTGTGCTTTTAGTTTTTCCCGTAGACAGAAGAAATACATGCATAATTAGATTAGAACGCTCAAAAAGTCATTGTCAAATTGAGTCAGAGACTAATCTAAGGGGGACCCACAAACCAACACCATTCAATCAATTGGTGACAGGAGGTGCGGCTGAAAACCTTAAATCCAGATTAAAGAACCCACAATTATAGTACTTTTAGTTAAAAAGCACTTTTTAGTACTAAAAGTACTTCAAAAGAGTTTAATGAATATATCGTTTCATAAGGGGTGAAGCTTTTCATGTTAAAAATGCTTTCAACCAAAATTTAAATTCGATACTTTTAAATAACCTTTATATTTTAAGAAAAATAAAATATTTAATCTAATAATTTATTGCATATTATAAATTAAATAAATAGATAAATATATTTAAACTACCGCAGCCCGACACAATTCGATCATCAAACATTACAATTCCACGATCCTGGGCTACCGGCTACGGCCACCGTGAAAGACTTGGGCTCGTAAATTTAGATTCAATTCAGTCTAACCAAACAAAGAATTTTTCAATTCTTACATCCAGCCCATGGACCAAATTAAGTTACGCATCAATGGGCCCAGATCTAGCAAGCTAGTCAGTAGTCAGGGCCAGGTATTTCATTGTTGTTGCAACATTCCTGGACAAAAGAATGCCACAGCAGATCGCTGCCCTCAGCTGCAGAGTGCTGACCTCCCGTCCCGTAACTCTGGAGACCAGAGGCTAAACCGACGAATCAACGAAGAGAGAAAACGAGTGGAAGAAAACAGACACTGACGTGGCACAGATCCGTCTCCCAGCCTCAGATCAACCCACCCCTCCCCCCCCGCTCCCCAAAAACAAAAAAACAATCTGATAATAATATATATTATTCCTGTTTTTCCTAATCGATGACAGTGATTAAATATAAAATTGCATCACTATCATCACGTTACTTTTGCTGCATTGGTATACAATTCATATTGGATTGAAAACTGCAGAAACACTATTATAGCTGGCCACTAGTCCTTATTCAGTTGGATTTTCTTGGTGGTATTACATAGTAGTAGTAGTGGTGGTGGTGTATTACAGCAGAGGAGAGAGTTTACTATACTTTGGCCACTACACCATTGATAGTGAACAAGGAAGAGAGGGGTAATTAGTTTTGGGGTTGGAAAAAGATATGGGGGAGGAAATTGGGTTTTTGGGTTTGGGAATTATGGGGAAGGCCATGGCAGTGAATTTGCTCCGGCATGGCTTTAAGCTCACTGTCTGGAACCGTACCCTTTCCAAGGTACTACTCATTTTTCTCTCCATGTATGTGTAGATTTTACATATTTAAGTATGATGATCATATTTTGATTGATTGATTGATTTATTTATTTATTTAGGTTGTTGCGTTGGCTATTGGATTGGAACATAAAGAAAAAAAATGATATAGTAAAACTGAGCTGTTGGATGATGTGTAATGAATGATTTGCGTTAAGAGTGCAAGAAAAATGATTTCGAAGCTACATATCCTTCTCGACCTGATTGTGTGCGCTTTTATAGATTGATATTTAACTAGTCCGAAAGAATGGAAAAATCTTCGAACATGAGATTTTACAAGTTTTCCTTTTCTCTTCCTTGTTCTAATTCTTTTAATACTTGCGGCTTTTGTAGCGCATGAAAGTGGCTCACTTGGTTTAATTATCGTAACACTCGTCTATGTTTGTTTCATTGGTATGATTTCCAACCAAACTTGTAGCATTGAAAATCAAAAGAGCGACTATGGACCTTCCAGAACAAAGAAATCTTAAGCTAATCAACTGATTATGATGCGGCACGCAGTATCGTGGCTTTTGCTTGTTACTTGAAACCATGAAAAACAATACAAACTTACTTCCTGTGGCCCACGAATCGTTTATGCTTGGCTGTTGAATGCAACAAAAACCTTTTTAGTTCCTCAATATTTAACTGATGCCTTGCAGTGTGATGAATTGGTGGAGCATGGAGCTTCTGTTGGAGAAACTCCTGCCGCAGTAGTGAAGAAATGCAAGTATACCATTGGAATGTTGTCTGACCCTGCTGCAGCTCTTTCTGTAAGTCCAAAGAATGAAAGTCAACATTTAGCAAGTTGTTCAAGTTGAGACTTGAACTCTTTATCTCTGATGGCATATATTGATTGATTCTTAGGTGGTTTTTGACAAAGATGGTGTTCTTGAGCATATTTGCACCGGTAAAGGTTATATTGACATGTCAACTGTCGATGCTGACACGTCTTCAAAGATCAGTGAGGTGTGGATATCAATTTTTTGGCCTTTCTTTGTCTGGTCAAAATCTGTGAACTTAGAACCACTCCTAGTAGATGACCGAAGTAACAGTTCTTGTCTTGTTAAAGGAGTGTAATTTGTGACTCTAGAAGGTTATGCTATAGTAAATGTCAGTGGAGGAAACACGCACTCCCGTTGTTGCATTCTTCAATTTTGACTATATTTGTTGGTGAATTACCAAAATCTGCACTCTTCCCTTGCTTCCAGGCAATTACATCAAAGGGAGGTCATTTCCTTGAGGCCCCAGTTTCAGGTAGCAAGAAACCTGCTGAAGATGGTCAATTAGTCATCCTTGCTGCTGGGGAGAAGGTAGATTTATTATTTTTTGATGCCTCAGCACTTGTTTGATTTTTGTTCCATTAGTTTTTGATACATTTAGAATGCATCTACTGTACAATTTCCCCAGTTATGTATCTCATTTCAGCTATTCAAGATAAAATAAGATTTGTAGAAAAGGTCTTCTCCCCTTAACGCTGTTTATGCCAACTTACAAGGATGACTATTCAGCTTTGAGGCATTTTAAACTAAATGAGGAGGTCTTTATTCCGAGGAATAGTGCTTCTTGTGTCTTTACTGTTCCCTTTCCCACCATTTCCTATTTCCCATCCTTGTAGCAAATTGAGCACTATCCCTGATAAGAACTTGTTGAGTACAAAAAAATGCTTGTATCTTGCTTTATCATTGGTTAAATTATTGGATCACAAGTTCTCATCTATATGCTGTGATTTTTATTTATTGATTAGAGCTATGAGAAGGCCATAAAGAAAGAGATGAAGTTATGACAGATGGATTTTAGATATAAATTCTGGTCACACCACGGGTAGTAGTTCTAATAAAAGAATTATATTAATGCAGGCATTGTATGAGGAAGCACTTCCCGCTTTCAATGTCATGGGAAAGAAATCATTCTTTTTAGGGCATGTTGGAAATGGAGCAAGAATGAAACTTGTCGTCAACATGATAATGGGCAGGTAATTTATACTTAACTTCCATTTGTAGATTATACACTTCTGTGTCGTGCTCTTGGGAATAATTCATTACAAAAATCATTCTTTATATTTAAAAGGTAAGTTAAATAGAACATTGGAAGTACTTGTTTTACTGAAATCGAACATGACTGAAATTGTATGTGCAACATACTATTTCCAGCTGCTGGTGAGCTTTCCCTTTCCCCTTTTCATATTTCTGCAACATCTCCTTATGTGGAGTCTTAGTATCCAGTCTATTTTCTCGCCCACCACGAGGGGGTAGGGGCATGTGATTGGGCAGCAGGAGGATGGATAAGTGGCAACCCTGGTTGTAAATTTCCAGCTAATGTAAAGTATGACGTCTACTGTCAGACTGAGCCACAATGGGTTACTATCATGCCTGATTTTTTTACCAATTTCAAACTTGAATATAATGTTCAATCAGCGAATATGAAATCTCTAGCGTGTCAGTGGGTTTGGGAAGCGGTAGGATGTTAAGTAATAATCTGAGTTTTAAATCCTGGACAAACGTAATATGACTTTTTATGAGACTTTCTTACTGCAATAATTATATCTGGCTTAATTGTTTTTATTTGAAAGACAGTTTTCCAAGGTTCAATGAAGATCAATTAGTGAGATATCAGCTCTTCTATTATGTTAGCGGACATTAGTATGAATAACTTGGTGGTAATAAAATCCATTCTCAATCTGTTTATGCCCTTGAGAACCTGTAAAACAATACTTAGTTGTGTCTGATGTGCCAATTCATGATTACGATATTTTCATCTTTACCTTTTCAGTCACTTACCAAAGCCTATCTTAGCCAGACTCTTCACTTTTCCCTGCCTTACCGTATCCTACTCTTCATTTTGCACTAGAGTAGCTATGTTGTCAGGAGTGCCGTACCTGAGTTTGGGTTACATAGGTCAAAGCAAGTGTGCATGTTGAGTTTGGAATTATGCATGGCAAATAGTGGCACATAAAATTTCACGTTAGAAAAATGGATGCTTTTGTGGAGCTGTTGTCATAAGAAACAGTAGTGTTGGTCAGTGATTTTTGGTCCTTGCTACTTTGCAGTATGATGAATGCATTCTCAGAGGGACTTGAATTGGCCGATAGAAGTGGACTGAACCCTCAAACTCTTCTTGATGTTTTGGTGAGGCAACTAACTGCAGATTCTTCTCACATTCCGTTAGTTCTCCACTTACTTTTCCATTTTTTTTTATATCAGGACCTTGCAGCAATTGCCAACCCAATGTTCAAGATGAAGGGACCTCCAATGCTCCAAAATAATTATACCCCTGCTTTTCCTCTGAAACATCAGCAGAAGGATATGAGATTGGCTCTTGCCCTTGGAGATGAAAATGCAATTTCAATGCCAGTTGCAGCTGCAGCTAACGAGGTAAGGCATTCTTCACCTCAGTGACTCAGTTAACAAATGAATTTACATTTTTGTTCCTTTTTTCATTTTTCTGTTCGTTATGGCTTTGAAGTTAGATATGTTAGATTGCTGTAGGAAAAACCTTAGTATTGAAGCAGATAATGTGAACTATAGAATCCACATTGTGGAGTTTGCCAAGTGAAGCATTTGACTACGTGTTCAAATAAGATTTTCAATCCAGATATAATTATGTTGTTTAGATGGACGCTTTATCATTTGACATGCAGGCCTTCAAAAAAGCCAGGAACTTGGGGTTAGGGGATCTTGATTTTTCAGCTGTGCACCAGACAGTTAAGGGTGGTGAACTTTGATATTGAACCTACCAGGGACTCGGGGCACCGATGCTGCTAAAGAAGATAATGTGAGGAGCATCAGGATAAGCGGACAGAAGAACATAGATGTCTGCGGACAGAAGAGCGTAGACGCCTTCCTGCTCTAGAAATTGAGTTGTGTCAACCACTAAGATTGCTTTTATGTACAACTTGACTATTCTTTCCTGTATGAACCACTCCACTACAGTGAAATTGCTTGGTTTGGTCCAATGTTTTAAAATTCGGACCGGTGATTGACCCCGGTTGAGTGACTGGTTCCGGTTTGTTTCCGGTTCAACCGTTCGAGCCACTGGTTCTTTGATTTTTTATTTTTTAAAATATTTATATGTACAAGCCCACCATAGCATGCGGTGGGCCAGTCCAAGTTTCCTTTAGTACTTCCACATACTGATTGTTTACCCATGGACTTAGGCCTTGTTTGGATTGCTGTTTTCCGTCGAAAAATTATGTCATTTTTCGTAATCACATTTTTCTATTATCTTTTTCCCTCACATACATCAAATCGCTACAGTAATTTTTTTATAAAAAATGCAATCCAAACACAACCTTAGTTGTCTGGTCAATTAAGTCCCATCCAAATTTAAAAAACCCGGGCCCAATTCATAGAGTGTTTTAAATCTTCATGACCAATTTAGCTTAGCTAATGTATTGTTTACTACAACAAAATAAGCGAGGAATTTGGAAAATAAGGAGTGAATTAGCAAAAATTCCAAACAAATTTTAAATCCATTAGATATTTGAATAGTTAAAAAAAATTCAAAAACACCAAAAGATCTAAAAATTCCAAGGATTTTTTGAGAAATTCGAAAAAAGTGAATACATCAAATAGAGAAAAAAAAATGTCACCAGAATTCCTAAAACAACACATGAAATGTAGAAAAATTAGAAAAAAAATCTGCTCAAATTTGTCAAACAAAAACAATCAAAAGTGATTACCCAGTTATCACTTTCTCAACTTAACAGAACAATAAAAGGGACTAAATGTAACTCCAAAAGAAGATTTTTTTTTTTGAATCATTGTTAAAATGGTACAACCATTCCCAAAAATAAAAAAGACAAAAAAAAAATTCAAACCACAAAAGAAATGAAGAAACTGACAAATAAATAGAAAAAAAAAACTCACCCAGGCCTTTACGCATGAAAATTAAACTTTAGGATCCATCTGATATCTTATGTGGGTAAGTTATGGAGTTTGAGCTTTGGATTGAAAAAGATAATAGACTAGAAAGAAGAGAAAGGAGTGAACATTGAGACTTTTTGACAAACTCACAAAAGAAGAAAGTTTGGAACTTTAGAGGAGGAATAAAAGTAACGGTTGTCTTCTTTTCTTTAGAGTTTAATAGTTTGTTGCCTTTAATGTGAATATCAGTAAGTTTGGTAAGTTAAGTGAGTAAGAATACTCAAACTGGATTCAATCGATTCATCCGGATTTTTTCGATTTTCACGATTTTTATTCTGTTCCGGTTTTAGCTTCCAACTGGACCGGTGTCATGACCGATTCACAGTTCAACTGGTCGAATCGATTGGTCTGATCAGGTTTTAAAAACACTGGTTTGGTCCATTGACTGAAAGAGTAAAGGGCCCAGAGAGTTAAGAAGTAATTTTTGTTCGGCCCTTCTTTACCACACCTTTGCTTCTTTACTTTTTCTTTCATCTTTCTTAGAAAGCACTCCTGCTCTTTTGCGTTGGGCATATATCTTGTTGCTTTTTGTACACTTAAATGTGAGTATTAACTATTAACTATCCTGATCTATATTTATTAGACACACAGGAAATTTCCGCCCATATATTTATTTTGTTGAGAAAACGAATATTTTTACACGCACAAAATTTTCATCCATATATTTATCTTGCTAAGAAAATCAATATTTATCTTGATTAACCACACACACCATGCATCGATTACCAAAGGTACACAGCATGAACTAATCCACCATCCACTTTACATTCAAATGAAATCGTGTTTACTATTCTGCATGAACTAACACACCATCCACTTTACATTCAGACCACGCCAAGAGTCGTGACATGTAACACCGCTGCAATTGCTTGTATTCAAAAAGAAACCACTGGAGCCACAAGCTGCTATCTTGCCCTCATCACTTCCTAGACTTGGATGCCTTGAATATGTTTTCCTTGTAGTACTTAAGTTCTGCTATACTTTCTTTGATGTCATCCATAGCTCTGTGCTTGTTTTCTTTTTGAGGAGCCTTCTTGTTATCTAGTAGACACAATTAATTTTTTTTTTTTAAAAAAGGTGCAATAAGTCAGGCCCAGACATGAGTTGAGTGCACCAAATTCAGGATCTCAACAAAATAGCAGTACCACAAGACAATGGAAAAGGACAGTTCTGAATGAATCCATTTTATTATATCAACTTCTGGTTCTGTTTTAGATGCAGTGGCCAAACATACATTCTGATGCACAGGCTAGTCAAAATTGTTGAAACAGTAGTACTGAAAGAAATTTAACACGCTTTGTGAACTTAAAAGCAGTGTTAAAACTATCACCTCTTGGATACCAACGGAGACATAGTGCCTTGATGCTGCTGACGTCTACAAGTACATGAGAGAAAAGACTAGCCAATTCGGGCATATATTTCTGCCAAAGGAAACTTTGTATTAGAACATGAAAGCATTTAGCAAACAAACCACCAAATGAAGGGTTATCAAAAATGAGTTCATCCATATTACGGGAGTGGATGCCTGTCAGCATTTCTAGCAACAAATCTCAACTACGGGCATGCACCACATGTCTGAAGAAGCACTAAAAAAAAGCATCTAAATCCAAAATATTTCATCTGGAATTCTAACATTCTCACCTTAAACATTGTAAACCTAAACACTGATGCGTGTGTGTGTATACGTACATCTGTATGCATAAATATAAAAGGTGTTTGATAGCTGTATTGCACATTGTCTAGCAAAATACTCGTGTTGGACAAGATAAATGCAAGGCCTATAGGACTGTATATGATACTTGCACCAGAATAACGCAATTGTGCCATATCCATCACATATCCATGTGTAATCTCATTCAAACTCAAATACAAGCACATAAAAATACTTTGTCATACCTTCAAAAACAAAAAGTCCATATAAACTGAATTTCCTGCAAGAAGAGGCGTATATGTGCCCACATTTTTTTTGACAAATTCAACAACCTGCACAAAGGAACACGGAACTATCACATTAGTCTGAGAGACAAAAGGCTTTACAATGTTGTGCAATGGTGAAGGGGATACTGAAGCCTTAATACCTGCTTTTCAGCTTCGCATTCGGTGATGGTACTGATTAGCACCTTGTCAGTCAAACCTTCATCACAGAATAACTAGTTAAATTTCACTACTAACCATAAGATACCAGAAAAGGCAATTAGTATTTACAGGCCACTCGTGTGGTTATGAAACAATGGAAGGACAATGGAAAAGAAAGACACATGGCAAGCTGATTACCACTGGCTGCATGATGTTGTTGACACCATTCTCCCATTCTATCCAGGCAGTCCTTCTCTTGATGAATGATCAAATGAGGACCCTATAGGTAAATGACAAAAAAATAATAAAAAAGGTTAACTGGATGGAATGACATAGAGATCAACTGAAAGAGTGAGATTGAGATTACCTCAATTGATTTGGTCAAACTACCGTCTGTGATTACACAAGCAATCTCCAAGATTCTGTCAATTTCAATGTTCAAACCTACATAAGTAACAAAGAATGGGTCAGCTATGAGGATATTATTTTCTAAAAGAATATTTAAAGCATACGAAACGTGGCAGGCAATCAGTCAAATCAGTTTTGTAGCGTCTGCCAAGTACAGATTCATGAATGCAACAACTAATCCTTCCTTCAGATTTCAAACAGTAGTCCATAACTCATAACTAAATGCCCAAATGATCAAGATTACAAAGATGGGGATAGCAAACACGATTTCAGCAAACAGTAGCAATTTTCCCTGGTTGAATTTTTCTTCTTATTCTAAACCCATAGGGCCACCTAGAGATATGGAATGATGACTGAGCATATTTGCTCTCAAGCTCACAGATGACTACGGCCAAGTGGACGAACAAAAAGGTTTCATATAACAGCAAAGATACAACCTAGTCTCTCTCTTTAGTCTCATGCTTGAGAAAGAGCGCCCAACAAGGGGCCTCACCCTCCATTTGTTTAAGTACATAGTGATGGATGTGCTTACGTGGTTTAGCTAGGAGCATTCAGCAATTACATTTTCCCAACTAGTCTTCACATACCGATTAATTCATTGAGGTACAATTCCCAAAGGCATAACATACCACAACAATTCAAAGCCAAGTACTAGTACAATTTCGACCAACAAATTGAAGACATTTCTTCCAGGAAGGATTAAAACTTTTCTTAGAATTTTCCTGAATTCAGCTCTCTCCCACTCTAGGCTTGCATGTGTTCTTTTGGACATAATTCATGCTGACAAAGCTAATTAACATGGTCCACAATGTCCCACTTACTAATGTCAATGCATTTTTTCTGGATGTAGAGAGATGAGGAAATAAAGCAATTTAAGAAAACAAACAAAACATAAGCATCGTGATCAAAAGAACTACAGAAGCAAGAAAAACCAAGGAATCTAGGCCCAACCACTTTGATAACCAGTCTCAAATGCCAGGTAATAACTAACGGGCAAATCCTATTGAAGATAGCACCACATAGAAACTTTCATTGGACTATACATTCCTAGGGGATAAACTAAGCAAGTTTAGCTCTGAAGCACTACCAAGTTGATGACAACACAAAAAGAACCCATCTTTCCCAAATTCTAATCAATTCACTTGTGAATTTTATGCTTATGAATTCATGTTTGGATTTCGACTATAATCATGCTCCTTTACAGCTGACACAATTCTTTGGGGACTCGTAATCAGAACATAGGTATTTAAGGAAGAAAAATATTCATACACTAAAGGATTTGAACAAAGGATTTTTAGAGAAGAAAACTTAAAAATTAACAAAAGGGAACAATCAAGTAGATGGCCAGAGAAAGAGAAAGAGGTTTAGGTTAGCTGAATGCTCTAACAGCGGAAAGGAATGAAAAACAAGGCAAGAAGAACATTCTCTCATGAAGTACATGAAAATTTCTGTTCATGAATGGTAACCATGGAATTTAGGATAATACTGACGGAGTAATAAGTGGAGCAGGAAGGTCGAAGAGCAACAAACCTGGACAAATGAACCACATGAATCTCTGATTGACAGCAGTAGGGACCACAAAGTTGCTTATTGACACTTAAGACTCAAACAGCTCTCAGGAACCTAGAACAAAAAGGAGCTCTAAGTTTTATTATGTACGCTCATAACTCATTATCTAATGGTTCTAGGAAAATGATGAAAAAAGCCTTTGTCTTAATAAGTGTAAGAAACTGGAAGCAGCAACTTTGGGCTAAAAAAAATTAAGTGATTTTCCTTCAGCAGCAAGTTGAAAAAGAAAGTTGACTTCTGCACTTATATGGTCTGATTTAGTGATATTTCAAATCAAAGAGAAAAGTTTACAATGTGATAGAAATACTATCGCAGGCACAGATGATATCAGATGATTCAGACAACAAATCAAAACCCTGTTTTAGTGAATGACTAGGCATGCCATCCAATTAGATTATGGATTATCTTAAACAGCCATTAACACTTACAGGTATTTTCTATTAACCAACTCCTTGGCAAAAGAATTTGTATCATATGAATAACCTAACACTAGATACTCACCAGTCATTTCCAGGTCAATCCACACAAGTGGCAACTTGCACTCTCCAGAAGGCACTTCTGAGCTTTGTGGACCATTTTTATCATTATTAACAGTGGTTGTATCCCCTGAGCTGTCATCTTTCTTCTTCCCTTGGGCTGCATAACAAAGATATCCAGTGGCATTTTAGTACACTGGATGATACATGCCAATTGCTTGTCTTTCCAGAACAAAAAATGCACCACTCACGTTGATGTTGAAGCAGAAATTAAAGCTAAAAGAAAATTTACATCTTTGCTTTGTTAAGAGTCAGTGAAACATAGTCTAAATCCAACATTTCAAACAAAGTGAATATAAAGCAAGCTGAGGCACTTCCCAGAAATCAATGCCAGTGTAAACCTCTCTTTCTCATACTCGCCTTCAGCAGCAAAAGAGGTCGTGTGTTCCCTATCATCCGTTGCATCCAGTTCCAGCAAAGAAAATGCATTTGAGAGCCGATCCATATCCACTGCAGACAGGTGATAGAGAGCATGTTGAAGCTAAAGTATTGACAAATGGAAAGTATAATCAAATAAAATAAAATAAACAGGACAAGGGGAAACATGTGGTAAGAAAAAAACACAGACATGATCCTTTTAACAAAATATAGAACAACTAGGATACAAAAACCTCAAAAACAAAAAAAAACCCTTGTCACGGCCATAAAGCTGCATTTATCAATCAATGTGACATCCGTTTAAGTATCGATTTACATGATCAAGTTTTCAATCCCTAAATGCTTCTCCATCTTTAATAAGATATCCAGATCCTTCACCGTTTTCTGCCCCAGTTGCCTTAATCTTCAACCGTTCGAGATAAAGATAAAAACTTTGGCAAAACCCCACTTCAGATAACAATTAATTAGTGGGATTTCTGGAATTTAACTATGACTAAACATAAAACGACGACTTTACATCAATGGTTAGTCAAGAGAAACGAGAGAGAAGTCGACGGGGTAGTCCAACATTCAAATACTTAAAGGGCAATGAGCATGGTGGTTGATATAACTGCATTGAGCAGCAGATAGGACCACGGAGGACATAGAAAAGGGAAGGATGGACGCTCACCGGGCACAGTAGTCGGCGACCGGCAGCTCGGAGCTTCAAAGTCTTCAACACCAAGAAGCGTCAAAATCTTCGTCAAACGCTTTATAGATAGTCTCAAAATGGCTGCTGCGCTGGCCCAGCGGCCTTTTTGGAAAACATCGTCTGGTGTTGCCTAATGGGCTTCACATTTTCTGCTTTTCGACCCCCATTGGGCTTCATATGCGTGTTTAATTTTCACGAATTGTTGGCTTGAGGATCGAGACAATAAATAATTAGTAATAACAGTAACATAAACCCTTTAAACAAATGGGTATATGATATCCCATTAAATAGCCTTTTCGGAGCATTGGATTAAGGCCTAAATACACTTTTAAAGAGATTTGGCAATTTATGCTTTGCCACAAATTCGTCTAAACCTCGTTTTCTTAGAAACCTCAAAAATTTTTCAAAACGTGAAATAGAAGATTCCTTAAGGGTTATTTTCTGAAAAGTGAGTTTTGAGAAATAAAGGATACAATCTATATTAAAAGATCAATAATCTCTTATTCATATAATAAAATTGAGCCTTTCTTTTTTTGGGGAAAAAATTGGAGATTAATTAGTGCATGCATTAAAGATATATTTTTCAATAATTAGCACTTATAACTTCCACATTTTGATCATTAACCAAGTCCTCTCATAATCATACAACCACAATAATCTTTTTTTTTTTTTGCTGACGAAATGGGTGTTCGGGTCAATTCATACGGGGCCCGACTAATCCCACTCCTGTCCGGAAGGAGAGGCCCCTTTCCCCCCGAACACGATAACCACTGGGACTGGATTCCTGTTGAGGGAGCTGGACAATGACTTCCAAGGGACTATCGTGACCAAACGAGCTGTCCATGAGGGGCTACAACCACAATAATCAACTTATTAAATTTAGTCCCGTGACCAAACGAGCTGTCCATGAGGGGCTACAACCACAATAATCAACTTATTAAATTTGTATGCAGTTTTTGTTGCCAATTTCGAACCTTCTTAATTTGTTGTACTCTGAGATTTTAGGAACTTCTTTCTCACTTGGTTCGAAAATTTGTATCCATCTCTTCTGTACTGGAAAAAAAAAAAAGGAAAACTTCTCAATTTTTATTTTTGCCTCTACCAAAATTAAGAGAAAGCTAGGTGCATTTAATTATTTCCTGTTAAGGCCTAAATAGCAATCCCGGGTAAAACGAACACAAAGGGCCGGGTTGAAAACGGAAAGCAGGTTTTAGGGGTTTTCGAGATTGGGGGAAGGGTTTTTCTCTCTCAGAGAACAAAGTGGGGAAAATTAAAAAGGTTCTCATTTTTCTCTGTTTCTCCTAGCCGCTTTTGAAGAAGTAGTAGTGTGATTGCTTCTTCCGCCACTGCTTCATCCTTGCTTTGACCATTGACTATCACTGGTTTGAATCGGAAGGAGCCCAGAACAGCAACAATGGCCACTTTTATCTCTCCTCCGGCAAGTACAACGGCAACACAACCAACCGGTTTGAAGCCCACCGTCATCGAAAAGGAGAAAGTTGATTACTTGAACCTTCCTTGCCCTATCCCTTATGAAGAAATTCACCGTGAAGCTTTCAGTCAGTATTCTATATTGCTATTCGCCCACCATGTTGATCCCTTTTTATCTTTTTCTTTTTTAAAATATATTTTTGAACGATGCATGATAGATATCATGTTTTGAGCAAGATATGTATTTCTAGACAATATAGTTGAGCCCAATTTGGTTTGTTTTTCTTTTTGCTGTGTATCCCATTAGAACTTTGTTTCAGTGAAGTGATGCATGCTTTTACTAGGTTCTGTATATATTAAAAAGCTATTAGAGTTGTAATCCTTAAGCGCAGGCGATTGGATTTAGTGGCGTGGTTCTACTGGGATTGTCAGGTACAACCATGCATGAAAGTAAAACTCGAATTTACGGAAGTTGAAATAGATTAGCTCGGCCTTTGTGTAGTAACTGTAGTTGGTTTGCCATTTATGGCTTGAGCATTGCTAATTGAAGGAAGTTATAAGTTTCTTGTGCTACATTTTGTGGCACCAATTGCTAGGTAGTGAAAGTGACTTGCTTATGTGGAGCCATCTGCATATAGAGGATATTACTGGCAAGTTAAAAGATTGTTGGTTATTGAGATAATGATTCGATTGAGTTTTATTGGCAGTGTCTTTGAAGCCTGAACTCTTTGAAGGGCTGCGATTTGATTTTACAAAAGGACTCAATCCGAAATTTGCCCTCAGTCACAGGTAGTTATTAGTCATTGGAAAAAATATTAGGTGCATAATTATATGTTTTTCTTTCATTCATTTTGTTCCTTCGTATCTAGATTTTATTTGGGTGGCAGGGACAATGTTAGAAATTTTCATTTTATAATTAACTGAAAATTTTTCCATCTGCTAATTATCAGTGTACTTATGGGACCTACTGAAATACCTTCTCAGTCACCTGAAACCATAAAAATCCCAACGGCTCACTATGAGTTTGGTGCAAACTATCTCGATCCAAAGGTATGTATTTGTCACTTGGCTAAAGTTTCATGTGTTTGATATTGATGAAATTTGTTTAATTCTCGGGGCATCAATTGATTTTCACAGCTAATGCTTGTTGGGAGGATTATGACAGATGGTAGGCTAAATGCTAGAATAAAGTGTGATTTATCCGAGAATCTTATCTTGAAGTCTTCAGCACAGGTAATTCTATTATATTTACAAGCTTTAGGTGGCCATTGGTGTCTTTTAGTTCATTTCACTTTCTGCTAACATGTTGGTACGAAAAATTAACTAATTCAACTATTCTTTTGCCCAGCTTACAAATGAACCACACATGTCAAATGTAATGGCCAGTTTTGATTACAAGGTAAAGTCGTAAAGGCCCTTTCATGCTGAACTTCTGTGTTGTTTATGTATACTTGTTCAAAACGTCATATAGGTATGCATACCAGCGTGGTGTTCAAGCATATGTAGGCCTCAATATGTTTGTACATCCACTTGTAGACAATTCTTCAGGTTGCAATAACATGAGCCGATGTCTGATTATCCATAAGGAACTGTCCACCTTTTACATGACAATAGCCATTGCATGTGGATCATTTGATATACCCAAAGGAGAAGGTTAATTGTTTGTCTTGTGTTTTCATTTTGTTGTACGTGCAGGGCAAAGACTACAGAAGTCAGTTTCAGTTAGGCAGTGGTGCCTTATTTGGTGCAAGCTACATTCAGGTAAAAAAGATCTTATTTTTAGTTCATTTTCTTGAAGAGTTTAGCCTTACATTCAAGATGTGAAAGTCTATTATTATTTACATATAAAGATAGAAAATATGGTGTTTCGCTAATGTATTCTTAAGAAATGGATTAGTTTTTATACTTCAACATGGGAATATGGACGAAACTGCACTCTACAACAAACTGAGATGCATGATGGGCATGCACTTTTCAGTTAAAGGACCACTTTGCTGTGCATTTCTCAGTTGTTTTGTTTCAGACTTCAGCAACTGCTACTCTCTTCTACTCTTGAGAAGTCATAAAGCAAAGCTTGACGAATAAAATAATACATACGTTCATGGATATTTATCCGCGAATGGAGGAATCTCTTCCCTCTTCCCTTCATCAAAATGTCATCATGTCTAGTAAAAATTGGTTTCCTCCTATATTTGAGGGCCATAAACTGTTTTTTTTTTAAATTTTTTTGAAAATTTAGGAACTCTAAAAATTTGCTTCAGGACAGTTGCAGATCTGTGAATAAAATGTGTGAGATTTTTTTTTTTCCACAGTAACACTACAGGCAACTCAGTGTTTGTTAATAAAATATGTGAATGTGCTTGCAGAGTGTGACCCCAAATTTGTCTTTGGGTGGTGAAGTGTTTTGGACTGGTCAGCATAGGAAATCTGGCATTGGTTATGGAGCTCGATACAACAACGATAAGATGGTATAAACCTACACGAACTGCAATAGCCATTTTATACTTTTGTGCTGTATTTTTTAAATCCCTTTGTCAGCATTTGATAATAACAGGAAATAAGGTGGCTATGCTATTATTTTGTATAATAATTTTGCTTTGAGCTGGAAAGTAGTAGTGATTGGTTAAACTATCCCTTGTTCCCAAGCTTCTAGTTTGTGCCACTGTCAAGTATGTTTAACATTTTTATTGTCTTAAAAAATAAAACAGTTTAGTTTTGTGATAGATTAGGCATTGAAGATGATCACTTATTATTACTGTGGGGCAGGGTGGAGCATAGGGAAGTAGATTTTACTTTGCCGGAGGGCAGGGAAGTAGATTAATTCATTGGGATAGGAGAGCAGGCTTGAGGGTGAAGTTCCAATTTCAGTATTTCCTGTGTTTTTCTGGCCATTAGAGAGAAACTGAGATGGTGGAGTACCTAAAAGTCTGGATTTCATTTTTGTTCTGTCAAGCTTTTTTTTTTCAATTTGCACAATTTTTTTTAAATAATTGTTGTCTAGATTAACAATTTAAAGTTCAGAATGAAGAACAGTTGAAAAGTCTCTTCTCAATGTCTTCATTGCATTTAGCAAACATGGAGTTATGCGCACTCTTCTTTTGCTACTGTCAGTGGGAACTAGGCACTTTGGATGCACTTATTCACCTTGTAAGTTGGTAGGAGATATTTACCTAATATATATGCAATACACGATTGGGGTTGAAAATTGGCAACATATGTGAATGGTATCTGTTATGGTACCAGTTGGTATGCCTTATCTATGCAAATGCTGCTTTTGCAACTTTCTTGGCATCTAGTGGGGGATTTGCAGGGGACCTATCTTTGTGCATTAGTATTGGATTGCACAAAAGGCATTTGATAACTTCCATCCTTGGCAATTTTCTTTCCTTTTAACACATCATTTTGGTTAATGCTTCATACTGGTGAGCACAGAATGTGTATAGTTTTCTTATTGTCTTTTAACTTGGAATTATGTGCAATTGTGCCGAAACTTACAAAAATCCTTGTCTTTGCATCTGTTTGCATGCTCTCGACTTTTTGGCTGCATTGGGAGGGTTGGGGGGTGGGGGGGGAGGAGGATAAGAGATTTTTCAATGATGTTTCTGCATGATTACTTGTAGTGGCTGTGTGGAATTGTTGTTGACTTGTGAAACAGATGTACTCGATAAGGAAGTTTGCTTTTTGATAGAGTTACTCAAAGATACTACTTTATGTGCAGGTTGCCACTG